CTTATTTTTCTTTGTTATTCTTCCTTTGTTTTTATTTCCCCGTTTATACTTCCTTCTTCCTTTATTTATATTTTTCCCTCTTTTTTAATTTCTATTCTTCCTTTATGTATTTATTTTCCCCTTCTTCCTTCATCCTTTGTTTACTTATTTTCCCGTCTTTTTTCATTTTTGTTCTTCCTTCCTTTATTTGTTTATTTTTCCTCTTTTTCATTATTCTTCCATCTTTCTTTATCTATTTCGTTTCTCTTTTTTCCATTGCCATTCTTCCTTCTTCCCTCATTTATTTAACCCTCCTTTTATCATTTCTATGCATCTTTCTTCCTTTGTCTGTTCATTTCTCTTTTTTATTCATTGTCATTCTTCCTTCTTCTCTTATTTATTCAATCCTCCCCTCCTTTTTTCATTGCCATTTTTTCCTTATTCCTCATTTATTTATCCCCTCCCCCTTTCTGTTTCGTTGTCATTTTTCCTTCTTCCCTCATTTATTCAATCATCCTCCCCCTTTTTCATTGCCATTCTTCCTTCTTCCCTCATTTATTCAATCCCCCCTCCTTTTTTTATTGCCATTTTTCCTTCTCCCTCATTTATTCAGTCCCCTTCCCTTTTTTTGCCATTTTCCTTCTTCCCTCATTTATTCTCTCCCTCCCCCTTCCTTTTTTTTTTCTTTTTCATCGCTATTCTTCCTTCTTCGAAAATTCTCCGAAGGGGCGCGGAGACACAGCCCGTGAACGCAATTGCTTCTGTTTCTAGGTCGACGCCTCGTTCGCTCGTCTCATTTTGCGAAAGCCAAAAGTATGTCAGGCAAATTTTTTTATTTTTCATTTTCTTTCGCTTTTTCTTCTTATTTCGTATTCTTTTTTATTATATATTATTTTGTCGGTATTTTTTTTTTCATTTTTTTTTTTTTTGTGTCAAGTGTTTTTTCTTTTTCTTCTTTCGAATTCTTTTTTTATTATTATTTTGTAGGTATTTTTTTTTTTTATTTTCCTTGTTTCGTATTCTCTTTCTGTTATTATTTTTCTTCGTTTTTTTGGGGTGTGGGGGGGGGAGGATAGAGAAGATAATGAGATTCGGTGAAAGTCCTCATTTCGGCATTAAAACAGGCCATCGGTGGGCTGGGACTGTCCTTGAAATGTTCTCATGCGATAGGAGGGGAGGGGAGGGGGGGAGAGGGGAGAGGAGAAGGGGAAGGGAAGGAGGGGAGGAAAAGGGAAGAGGAGGGAGGGAAGGGAAGGAGCGAGGGAAAGGTGAAGGGTGGGGGAAGGGAAGGATGGGGAAAGGAGGAAGGAAAAGGAAGTGGAAGGGGAGTGACTGGAGAAGAAGGAAAGATGGGAACTAGGGAGGAGGGAAAGAGGGGAAAGTGCGAGGGAAGGGAGGGAAGAGGAGAGAAAGGGTGAGGGAAGGGAGGGAATAGGGAGAAGGAGCGGTAGGGAAGGGAGGAGAGGGAGGAGGACGGCGAATGGAAATGTTGAGAGAGAGAGAGAGAGGGAAGGACGTAGGAAGAGGGATAGAAGAGTAAGAGAAGAAAGGGCGAGGAGAGAGACTGGAGGAAAGGCAGAGGGGTGAGATGAAGGGAGGAATAGGAGGAGGGGAGAGGGAGGAAAGGAGGGAGAGGAGAGAGAAAAAGAAAAAGGAAAAATTCTCCGCTTGTAAATCTCTCCGTCGGTGCTTATGTGTGACTGGTCGTTCGATGTCAATCTTTCATCGTCTTTGCTCACATTTCCTCTTATTTTTTTTTTCCCTTTCCTTTCTTAGGCCTCTTTTCTCAGAAGAGGTGCGCTGTGCAGAGGCTTTTGAGTTTTTTTTTTTTTTTTTTGCTTTCAGAATATTGTTTTGGGGAAAGGTTGTCCGGTTTCGGGAAAGACGGTTATTACTGTTTTGTCCTTTGTTTGCGTGATTTCTGTTTGTTTGTTGGAGCCGTGTGTGTGTGTGTGTGTGTGTGTGTGTGTGTGTGTGTGTGTGTGTGTGTGTGTGTGTGTGGTGTGTGTGTGTGTATATATATATATATATATATATATATATATATATATATATATATATATATATATATATAATGTATGTGTATCTATCTATAATATACAGATAGATATAGATATAGATATGTATATATATTATATATATATATATATATATATATATATATATATATGTATGTATGTGTGTGTGTGTTGTGTGTGCGTGTGTGTGTGTGTGTGTATGTGTATGTGCGTGTTTATGTGTGTGTGTGTGTATGTGCGTGTTTGTGTGTGTGTGTGTTTGTATGTATGTATGCATGTATATATATATATATATATATATATTATATATATATATATATATATATATATATATATATATATATATATATATATAATTATACACATGTACGTACGGCCGCACCCGACACACGACAGCGACCCCGCAGCAGCAGCAGCCCGACCGCTTCGCTGCCGGTGGGCGTGGCTGATCGAGAATCTCAAAATGGCGTGTTTGGGGCTGATTTGCGGGACGGGGCACACGCGCCCATTAGCGTCAGGGGTCGGTCGGGTCGCGGTACTCTCGGGGTGGGGAAAAGGAGGGAAGGTGGATGGACGGGTGGGGGAAGGTGGGGGTGGAGGGAGGAAAGGGTGGTGGGTAAGGGGAAGAAGGTGGATGGGTGGGTAGGGAAGGTGGGTTTGGGTGGGTAGGGGAGGGGGAGAAGGTGGATGGGTGGGTGGGAAGGTGGGTTGGGAAAGGAGGAAAGGGGGTGGGTTTGGGGGTTAGGGGGAGGGGAGAGGTGAATGGGTGGTGGTGGGTGGAGGAAAGGGGTGGGTTGGGGTGGTGGGGGGGAAGAAGGTGAATGGGTGGGTGGGGAAAGTGGGTTGGTGGAGGGAGGAAGGGGTTGGGTTTGGGTTGGGTAGGGGGGAGAGGGAAGATGGTGGATGGTGGGTAGGGGAGGGAGGAAGGGGGGTGGTTAGGGGCGAGGGGGATGAGTTTGGTGGGAAGCTGAATGGGTTGGTGTGGGGTTGGAAGGAGGGAGTTGGTGGGTTGGTTTTAAGGGGGCGGTGTGGTTGTTTGGTAGATGAGTGGGAGTTGGGAGGGGGGGAGGAAAGGTGAGTCGGTGGGCAGATGGTGATCAGGAGGAAAAGGGAGAGAAGGAGAAGAGGCATGGGGGTTAAAATGGGAAAAATAGGAAGGAGAGGGGGGAGGGAGAAGGGGGTTGGTGGGTGATAGGATGGTGAATGAAGGTGGGTTGATGGGAGGTAGGGTGAAGAAAGGTGGTTCAATAATCGGATAATGGGAGCGGAAAAGGGAGGGGCCGGATGAAGAGGTGGGAGAAGCGAGTGGAGCATAGAAGGGAGAAGGAATGGAGACAGAGAGAGAGAGAGAGAGAGAGAGAGAGAGAGAGAGAGAGAGAGGAGAGAGGAGAGGAGAGAGAGAGAGAGAGAGAGAGAGAGAGAAGGAGAGGAAAATAGAGTCAGAGGGTGAACAATAAAGGGAGGGAGGAGGGAGGGGGAGGCTAGGAAGATGGGAAAAAAAAAGAAAAAAGGGGAGAAAAAGGGTCGAGGATGAATTTATAAATAAAAAGTAATAAAGGAGGTTAATTGGGATCGGATGAGGTAAATGGAAGGAGGGAGGAACAACAAAAGAAAAAGAAAACACTGAAGAAAAGGAAAGATGAAAATAGCAAACTACCAAAGGAATGAATGGCGAAACATAAAAAAAAGAAAAAAACAACAACGAAGAACCGAAAATATCTTTAGAAAGACACAATGCATACATAGAAAAAAAACAGAAAAAATGAGTCAGTTTCAAGAAAGTGCTGTACCGGAAGTGACTTAACCCCCCTCCCCCTCCCCCCGTGGCCCAGGTAAATTAACGGAAGACAAGTGATTGGCATCGCCTCAAGGTCACTCGTTTCGAATCCCAATTTGTGTCGTTCGTCGCTGGTCGTTAACTTAAATCTGGCAACTGATGTCCGTAGATTTTATCAGACTGACCGTCGACCCGAGTTGTCAAAGAACAAAGCGTACAGTACGCCTCATTCTTAGATTTTACGTGCTTATAAATCGTGGGCGCAGAAATGTGCATATGCATTTTGTTATTGTTGCTGTTGTTGTTATAAATTTTCTGTGATAGATATTTTTTTATGTAATAGATATTTTTTTTCTGTTTTTTTATGTGGCCGCAGAAATGTACATTTGCATTTTGTTATTGTTGCTGTTGTTGTTATAAACTTTCTGTAATAGATTTTCTTTTTCCTGGTATAGATTTTCTGTAACGGATTTTTTTTCTGGTGTATACTTTCTGGAACATATATTTTTTTCTGGTTTGTGGGAAATTGTGAAGCTACTGGATTTATTTTTTATTTTTTTTTAAAGACATGTAAAAGGTTTTAAAAGATGCCTCTCGTTTGCGTGGCAGTTTGCGTCTCCTCGACAGGGTAGGGCGAGGGAGCGGGTCACGTGACTCCCGCTTATACGCAAGTCGGAGACCCCGCCATTTGCGCCGAAAGAAATTGTGATAAATGGTACATTCTTTTTTTCTTCTTCTTCTTCTTCTTCTCTTTCTTCTTCATCTTCGAGTTCGGTTCACCCTGTGCTGGATTTCTATAATGGGCGATATCTCAGTGATTTGTGGCGTTCTCATTTTTTCTCCTGACAAGGAAGTTCGAATAGAAAATGTGGTAGTAGTTACGGAGATGAATTCATGTGTGTTTATTGATTTCTTGTTTAATCAAATGAAATGTATTGAATTTCAATATTGAAATCTAAACCATACATTACAGATCATCTAGATATTGGTAGATATTTTAAATCAAATGTACATTTATATCAAAATCATACTTTTCTCCATTGCAATTAACCTGTCACCCCCTCTCCCTCAAAAAGATAATAAAATAAAAAAAAACTTGATAAATTACAGATAATTACAGTCATATCAAAATGATACATGTCTCCATTCCTTCCCTTCGCAACTAAACTAAAACGCACAGCTAAATGACACAAAAACACCATATCTAAAATAATTTCGTATTTCCAGATTTACCGCGAGTTGGGACAGGACATGGAGGCGGCGGCAGTGAGCGGGTACAACGCCTGTATTCTTGCCTATGGACAGTCAGGCTCAGGAAAGACCTACACCGTCTTGGGGGCATAAGGTGAGGAGGAGAGAGAGAGAGACAGACAGACAGACAGACAGACAGACAGACAGACAGACAGACAGACAGAGACAGAGAGAGATTTTTCTTTTAGGAAATCTGCTGTGTAGTTTGTGTGATTATTAGTCTTTATTGTTATTATTATTATTGTTTTATAGTTATAAATAATAATAATAAATAATAATGATAATTATTATTATTATAACTACTACTACTACTACTACTGCTAGATTTATTACTGTAATTACTATTATTATTACTAGTTATTGCTGTGATTAGTATTATTACTACTATAATCATTATTATTATTGTTAATATTGAATATTATGAGGATCATTATTATTATCATATCACTATTATCATCGCTCATCATCATCTTCATCATTTAATTACGTTTAAATTATTCGCTATTTTTCAGGGGTTGTGATATTCCTTTAGCCGGAAGTGTGATATTGTTCTCTAAGGATAAATATCGGTATTAGATTAGGCCGCTTTTGCGCAGAGGAACAGCATCCTTACTCTCTCACATACGCACACCATATCCCCAGAAAGTGAAACGAAGAACAGAATTCGTGGTAATAGATGTAGAAAAATATAAAAGGCGAAAATGAATAACCTCACTAGAGACGTGATTATCATTCATGCTTTGCGAGGAAGTTATGAATAACGTTCTTAAAAGGGTGAAGTTATTCATTCCCAAAAGAGACACGGAACTGAATGCCAGTTTTAAAAGGCCAAGGCATTCAATTTCAAAAGCTATCTGGAACTCGGTGCCACTGTCTCAAAACCTGAAGCTGTTTATTCCCCAAAGCATGGAATTGAATGCCACTGAATCTATTCCAGGAATCTCCCGGCTTGGCCCCCAGGATATGCCAGGGGCTCCTCACCCGCCTACAGCAGAGGTACGCCCCCGACGACCTCTGCGCGCAGGACTTCTCGCTCACCCTCAGGTAGGTCTAAGGGGGGGGAAAGGGGGGGAAGAGGTCAAAGGTCATGGGAACTTTTTTTTTTAGGTAAGCCTAAGGGGAGAAAAGGGAAAAGGAACTTCGAGTATCGGAAGCTTGTTTGTTTCCTTGTTTGATTGAGGTAAGCCTAAGGGGAGAAGAGGGAAGAGGAACTTCGAATATCGGAAGCTTGTTTGTTTCCTTGTTTGTTTGAGGTAGGCCTAAGGGAAAAACAAAGGAAGAGGTCAATGGGTTTGGGAGCTTTGATGGCCGAAAATTTGTTTGGGGACGTTGATGTATTTTTTTTCTCTCTCTCTGCCATGTTACATTGGGTTTAAGTGAAATAAAGGGAAGTTGGAATTTTATATGACAATGTTAGTTTATGTTTAAAAGAGACTGATATTTCTTGAATATGGAGATCTTGTTATCGGTAAATCAGTAGTGGTTTGTAATATAATACTTATTAACATCAACCCATATAGGAATATAAAAAACATAATGATAAAGAAAATTAAATAGGCTGAGATTTTTTCTGCCCTAAAGGAATAAAAAAAAAACACGCTGTTTATGATGATCCATTGTCTAATTTTACGTAACAGCCTGGTCGAGATCTACAATGAGAGGGTACGGGATCTGCTCACGGGCAATGACCAGGGGCGGCACCTGAGGGTACGAGAGCATCCCCACACAGGTCCCTATGTTGATGGTGAGTCTCAGTGAGAGATGAGTCCTTGAGTCAGTGTGAGATTTTTGGGTCAGTGTGTGAGATTTTTGAGAGATTTTTGAGTCAGTGTGTGAAATTTTTGAGTAACTGCGAGAGGTTTTCTATTAGAGCCTCTTTCTTTCTTGGTTCAGGTGAATGAACTGTCTATCGAATGTAGATTGCGATTGATTTAAATACATAACTTGTGTATTTGTGTGCAGGTGTACATTGTTTTGGAATTCATTTATGAACTTGTGTATGGTAGGTTTCAGTTTATTAACTATTGTATTTTAGATTATGTTGAGCTTCAGTACAGAACTTGTGTGGATTTTTGTGCAGGAGAAGACACTGTTGTAGAATGTATTTAATAACTGTATGGTTGATTAGCGTTAAGTACCTGTGCATTTTATCCGCGTTAGAGTACGTTGTATTTTGCTACACAAGGCCATTCAACCCCCTTCCTTTACAGGTGTGACGCGCCACCCCATCACAGACACGAGTGAAGCGTGGGCGTTGCTGGAGCGTGGGCGGGCGAGTCGCAGTGTGGCTCCCACGGCTTCCCACGCCCATTCGTCGAGGTCCCATGCCCTGCTGACCTTAGATGTGACCCAGCCCGCCGCCCACACTCGCTCGGCGCTCACCTTGGTTGATCTGGCGGGGAGGTATGGGAGAGGGTGGCGTGTGTAATGCGTATAGTGCTATATGCTGATCCCTAAGTTTGGTTTTCGTGTATTTAATCATAAACTACGATGATTTTGTTTGATTTAATTCGTGAATTGATTTATGTATGTATTTTCTTTCTATTAAAAACTGTGTAACCTCATACATACTTTTACAGGGAAAGTAGAATATTCATTTTCCACTATGCAATGCCTTTGGATAGATTTCTTTTTTTTTACATGTTTTTGGAAACTATTTACACAACCCTATACCATTACATTTCCTATTTGACAGTGAACGAGCGAGCGAGGAAGTTGACAAGACCAGGTTGACGGAGGGAGCCAGCATCAACCGCTCGCTCGTGACGCTTGGCAATGTCATCTCTGCTCTAGGTAAAGGTCGAAGGACTTACTGTTGTGTGGAAGAAAGGTTCGAATCAGTTAAAGTGAGCATTATGCTGATGAAAATTTGGAATGGGTGGAAAATAGGAATAGGCTTTACTTTTGTATGTAGTAAAGGTTGAATCATTATAAGTGAACGTTAATTCCGATGGGAAATAGGAGTAGGTCTTACCGTTGGATGTGGTAAGAGTTGAATCATTTTAAGTGAACATTTTGCTGATAGGAACTGGGAATAGGTCTTTTACCGTTGTGTGTAAGAAAGGTTCGAATCGTTTAAAATTAACACTAATGCTGATGGAAAATAGGAAGCATAAATGTGTGTAATTGCTGATCATGGTTGTCCAACTTGTGATGCAGGAAAAATGAACTGCAATGTGTGTTTTTTTCCTCATCACAGTGTGAATCAGTTGTATTTATTACATTGGCTACAGTGTCTCCTTTTGAAATTAACAGTGTAGATATCATTGGTGTAAACAAAGTAGGGACCATTGACATAAACAAAGTAGGGAATCATTGATATAAACAAAACAAGAACCAGTGACATAACCAAAATAGGGACCATTGATATAGACAATGTAGGGATCATTGATATATTTTATACAACAAATTTGACTGCCATAATATCCAGCATATTATTTATATAGATTATACACCTTGCGTGTGTGTTACTGTAGCATGCTTACTGTACCTTTATTACAGCATTTGGGTCATTAATCTCTTTGTAATTTGTAATCTGATTTTTGCGTTACTGCCATTATGTGTAACCTCGGTAAATAAGTGTCATTCCGTTGAAGTAGTTTTGAGTGGCACTCCTACTAGCCATGTATTCAAAGACCATTCATAAAAAATCATAGATAGGAAAAGCTTTTATGGTAGTCATGTATTCGAAAGGCTTTCTATTCGTAGTCTTGAGTTCGATAGCCATTTGTAGTAGTCATATTCACACTCATGTTATTCTTATCTAGTCGTCCACAAGGCTCGTGGCTGCATTTGCTGTGGTAGGTCTAACAAAGACAAATCTGCATGCGTATAACTTCTATGTGGATATTGTAATGTGTATTACTGTTTTTTTTCTCCTATATTAATTGCATCCCTTTTCATTGTTCTTTCTTAAGTAAAAAAAAACAGTATGTAGGGTAGTACATGCAGTGTAGTTCTGTATGTAAGATTGATAAACTTTTTATACTTTAATAGCTTCATGGTAGTAATTAAGTCGTATTTTATAGTGTGTCTCTTTATTTTTAATAAAAAAACAGATATAGAATTCTGTCTTAAAAAGTATTCCAAGATTCTGTTTATAGATATGAAGAATAAATTCTGTAGCTGAATTGCATGATAAATAAAAATTCTTCTTTTTATGATAATCTGTGGTATAAAAGTTAAAATATAGGTTGTAGGTACAGTTACTAATTTCTAGTCATATATCTGATATTATGATACTAATTTCTGAGCTAAGTTTACTTGAACGAAATATAGGTTTCTAAGGATTTCTGTCCCAAATTGCAACGTTAACAATTTTAATATAATCACCTCTCAGTTAAAAGTTCCTTTATAGAGAAGAAATAAAAGAAATGACCCCTTTTAACTCATATAACAAATAGCTTCCTCTAATCTTTACGACTCACGAATGTAGAAAACTTCAGTGATAGATCATGTCTCTTCTTATACATACTTTCCATCCGTCAAACAGCTGAACGTGGTGCGAATTTAGGATCCACGGTGGCAATGTCGCCCCTGGGCTCCAACCTCTCCCTCTACAGCGCCACCTCCCGCCCCTCCTACGCGCAATCCCACACCACAATCCCCGACGGATATCCTGCCGAAGGACAGAGGAAGGCTTCCAAACTCCCCTTCATTCCTTATAGGGATTCGGTGCTGACCTGGCTCTTGAAAGACACGCTTGGAGGCAATGCTAAAACTTTGATGATTGCAAGTGAGTGGTCTTCTTCATCATCATCTTCTTCTTTCTTCGTATTTCGTCTTTCTTCTTCTTTTTAAGTTTTGAGATCCTGATGTGGTTGTCATGTTTGTGTTTGTTATTTGTGTTTTTATGTTAAGTTTTAGATGTGTAGTATGTGGTTGACATTACATTTTCCCTACGAAATACGACTCGATAGAGCCTGATAAACTTTATTTCCCTTGAAGCGATGTCTCCGTCAAGCACTAGCTTTGCCGAGACCGTTGCAACCTTACGCTATGCCACACGTGCGCGTTGCATCGTCAACATGCCCGTGGTGAACCTTGACTCTGGAACGGCCACTATCAGGAGCTTGAAGAAAGAAGTGGCTGCCCTTCGGAGACTGTTATGTGATGCTAATGTAAGTGGGATGAACGGCTTTTCCTTTGTTTTTTAATGTTTTTTTATTCGTTTCATGCGTAGATTTCGTTTTGCTATATTTAAGGGAGAAAATAATTTTTAGATTTTTCATGGTATTTCGATCAGTTTTAAGGTTTCAAACAAAGTTGATGGAGAGAATTCTCATTAAAAAATACAATCTGATTTGTCACAAAACCTTAAAGAATATTCGATGTGATCCGACCGAAACCACCTTGCCATCCTCTCCTTCGACCAAGCCTTTAGCCGTCATTACCCGTCATGCAAGATCACTTGGGCGCAAGTGGGGCGCACATGGCACGTTCGGCATAGAGCAAAGGATCACTAGGAGCTTGATTCTCAAAATCGCATCAACCAATCGAGGACCTGCATACCGCGATAGACTGAGTGGAAATCAGAAGTCGCCCGATGGCAGTGGAGGGCCGAAGAGCGAAACCGAAGCAAGCGAGTGAGTCGGAGGAGAGGAGGCGGCCGCGAGCCGTACGGAGCCACGATGGCTCTCCTCCGGGAAGATAATGAGCCTGCTCGACGTGTCCTGCCCCCGTTCAGGCGTGGACCCGGCAGGGCAGAGCGGCATCGGTGCGGGCAGACCAGGGTGACGTTCTATACGGTAGGAGACGGAAGCCTGCCTAAGCTTGCTCACAGCGTGAGAAACATACCACTGGCATGTGGGACGTACTAACCTCACGATTGGCACGCCATCCAGCCACTGCTAGGACATTAGTATTATTACATAATATACAGGTGGTACGTTCTCAAGAACATTCATTTGTCCCTGTTAAAGGATTTAGAGCTGTACGAAAGGTAGATGGATGAGAAGTGAGGCAGGGCACGATGCGGGTCCCAGCACATGTCAAGCGTCCGTATCTGTTGATGTTGATATTATAATTGCTGTATTCTAATTCATTTCAAGTTTAGATGTTGTCACTTATATGACCTCTTTAGCACATTAGGTTCCTTTTTTTTTCTTATAAATGGTAAAAGCTGGGGAAGTAAAATTGGGCCAGGTTTAGATGTTAATACGGGTTTTACAAAAAACGAATAATTTAAACATTTAAGTCTCTGGTCGGTGCATATATATTGATGAGGGTGGAGTGCTAGTGTGATTGGAAGTTGGATGTGGTAGTGTCGGTTGTGACAGTAAAGTGTGTGTGGTGTGTGTGGTGGTTGTGTTTGTGATGTGTGTGTGTTTGTGTGTGTGTGTGTGTGTGTGTGTGTGTGGTGTTTGTGTTGTGTGTGTGCGTGTGCGTGTGTGTGCTTGTGTTTGTGTAGTACCAGCTTTCATATATATATATTATAATAACTAGTATAATCACTATAATTGGGAATAATATATTATTACTATTTATATATGAGCTAATACTTATATAAGTATATAGCCGTGGTATGCTATCAGAATCACTGTTTATCCTCATTTTGTGAGTTATACACAAATCTAAGCCAAAGTTAAGTAAATAGTATCAAGCACAAGTAGTAGTTATCTAGTAACCATAGATATCAGTTAGATGCATATTATTATATATAAATTACGTTTGACAGACACCAACACACAGGTCACACATCACTCTATACACACTCAACACACAACACACACACCACCGGGAACACATCCAACACACAACGCGACGAACACATTTTCGATATTCTACGACACGCAAATTAATTATACTTGTGATACACTAGCAAAGTCGTAAACATGATACTCGAGTGCTTATTCGTGAATGCTGAATCAGAAAAGAGATACTTCATCTACAGAAGTAGAGAGAAGATAAAAACGAAAACGGTTGGATAGTTCACACAAGTATATCCGAAATTCAGTCTGTCTTGATATTCGGTATAAGGAAAATAATAAAGAAGAAGATTCTACGTCTGGAGCTTCATTGGTTAATTCTTAAAAAATAACACTGAATTACATTGACCGTGTCGCGTGTTCTTTATCAGTCACGGTCTTTATCTAAAGCCATAATTGAATCGCGGTGAAAAGTAGAGAAAAAGTGGAAGGCTCTAATTATTAGCAAAATTTAATGTATATATATATTGTTATAATACACTACGTATATATAAATACATATACATATTATATTATTACAGATGTCTATAGTTAATTGTTTGTTATTGTGTTGGTGTGCTGTAAGGTGTGCGTGTGATGGTATGTGTGTAGTCCTATTGTGTTTGTGTCAGTGGTGATAATTAATATACTTATAATTATTATATATATTATATCCTAAAGTAGTATTAGTTTATTAGATTATATTTATATTATATATATAGTATGTTACCACTATATATATATATAGTATGTCACAAGATACACTTAGTATGAATATTACTTAATACCGTACCCAGCACACACAACTACACACACACACATACACAGCTCACAACACTGTAACATATGAACTAGAGGAGACGAGTGTATATCGAGAGGATAGTATGTAGACGAAAAGCGAAAGATACTTGAGGGAGAAAAGACAGAAAGGAGAGAAAGATGTGTAAAGGGCTCAAAGCAGAAAATGAGAAAGGAAGACCTGATAGATAGATATATATGGAGTAGATAGATAAGAGAGAAATGAGATAGTGTAATGAGAGAGAGAGAAACGAGAAGTGTCTGTGTATAGGACACCGAGAGAGTATAGTAAAGCAGTAATTTAGAGTGTATGGAAAAGGAGTAAAGAGATTTTGAGAGAAAGAGAAAGATAGAGGAAGAGAATGAGTAAGAGAGAAGATAACGATGTAACGTAATCCCAGCGAGGCAAAGGTAAAGATAGAAAAGTAGCAGAATTATAATAAGAATACAGTATAGAGTAGATGATGAGTTAGAGAGAGAGAGAGATGAGAGAGAGAAGAGAGAGAGATGAGAGAGAGAGAGAGAGAGAGATAAAGGAGAGTTAGGAGTAGAAAGAGAGAGGCAGTAAAGGAGTAAGGATAAGGAGAGGAAAGCAGAGCTTCTATATATGAAAGATATGGTAAGAGGAGAGAGGAGAACTAAGAGAGCGAATGAAAAGTGAGGCAGAGCGAGAGAAAGAGAGAGTGAATTTGGAGAACAAAGGGCACGACGAGTAGGAGACGGAGAGGACAGAGGACGTTACAGAAGGGAGGAGGAGAGAGGTAGAGGACGTGCCGAGAGTGAGGAGCAGCAGCGCCAGTGAGAGAGAGACGAAGAGCATGAGAGGAAGAGACAAGACGAGAGGGAGAGAGAGAGAGGAGAAGAGAGAGAGAGAGCAGTAGAAGACAGACTCAGAGAGAGAGCCAGAGAGACAGAGAGAGAGAGGGAGAGAGAGAGGAGAGAGAGAGAGAGAAGGGAGAGAGAGGAGAGAGAAGAGAGAGAGGGAGAGAGAGAGAGAGAGAGAGAAGAGAGGAGAGAGAGAGAGAGAGAGAGAGAGAGAGAGAGAGAGAGAGAGAGAGAGGAGAGAGAAGGAGAGAGAGAGAGAGAGAGAGGGAAGAGAGAGAGAGGAGAGAGAGAGATGGGCGTCAGATAAGTGGCATACGCCCGTCTTGAGGAGTATATGTTCATCGCAGCGAGCGCCCGGTGCCAGATATATTATCACACTGAACCGAGGTATTGAATATAGCTAGTTATATTCTTAGAGTATTTTCGTGGAGATTTGGCATCGGTGAATGTTATATGTCACTATGAGATGTGAGGAACGGTGCAGGTTAGGTGTGACCCATTAGTTTTTTTTGATTGGGTTGAATGTTACTGTAGGAGTAAGTGTTTTTATTCTGTAGTTATTTAATGGAAGTGTCCCCTTTATTGGGCACGCGTACTTTTTTTCTCACAAAGTTCAGGGCTGATATTTCAGGTACAGGTAGGGTATCTAACTCCTTCTAACGATGTAAGAGGTGGGATGTCGCATGTCCCTTGAGAATTCGCATTTGTCAAAAAAAAAAGTGGAAACAGTTTTACTCTTCCTGTTTAACGTATAAAATAAAGTATTTCTAAATACGCTATGTTCTGTGACTATGTATACGCTTTTTGGGGATATGGGATTTTGCCTTCGTGTGCTTCTAATATTTTCTTGATTGTACGGATTGGACTTGTTTTCTCGCTATGTATCTCATGGGCTATGGCTCGTATTACTTGGTAAGAATTAGGACTCATCTAGGAAATATTATCAGTCCATTTATAGATTATATTTTTTGGTTTTTTTTATTTTTTGCTTATTTATTTTGTTATTTATTTATCTCTTGCCTAAAAATAGATCGTGTATTCCCATTTCCTCGCCAGCTCACAAATTTTTACTCACCTATTACTTTACTTTGAAAACGCACGCTAGCACACACTCTAGTTAAACTTCACTCTTCACAAAATATAAACTTTAACCCTGATAGAATGCCTGGAACAATGATCTTCATAAACCAACCTTTTCTAATCTTATCTCATTACTATTTAGACTTCACCATCTAACTACGAGCATTAAATATTAAATCGAAGTTTCCCCATATGAGATTTACCTTCGTCTCTCTAGCTATTTCTCTTTTCGTGGAACTATAATATGGACGTGGGAAAACCTTAGGAAGGAGAAAAATAGGACGAACGCGGAAAAGGGAAGAAGGAGTGAGAATGAGAAAAATTCAGCTTTTATATAAAAAGCACCAAAATATGTAACACATTTTCAGCATTCATGTTTTTTAAAGAGTCGAATTGACATAAACAGGACGTAAAATTCCTCTTACGATTTTGCTAACTAAAAATGAATACCTTTTTATTTTTCCGCGCTTAATAGGATTTATGTTACGGATTAACTTGTGTTATAGTTATAGTTGTGGGGAAGGCATAGTAATAAAAGGTAGATAGGAGCGGGACGAGGTAGAGAGGTCGAGCGGAAAAGAGATTCTCACGCAAGTAGAAAGGGAGATAGTATAAAGGGAGAATTAAAATTGTGAGGAAGACGAAGGAGTAGCAACGGTGATGGAGTTAATATCAAGAGGATCTCACGAAGCCATAACAGCGCCGGGAAGAGGGTGGGTGAGAGGTGCATTACGGGAGAGTAGAGGATAGGAGAAGACAATACATCAGGAAATGACGTTCTCTTCATACAAGCCACAAGAACGATTTTCACGAAAACACCCAAAGCAGAAGGAGAAAAGGAGTACGATTTGTATAATTCTCATTTAGGCGAAGAGAGGTAAGACAATATCCTGGAAGATGGGTGAGTAGTGTGAATGTGCTATCGTCCCGGACCTAACAGGTGCTTAAGCCAGGCTGCGAGTGGAAGTCGAATGGCCACAAGTTCCTTGCCGCTCATGGGAGAGAGCGGAGAGTGACGTATGCGGAATTGGAAGAGGGTCGAGGGACTCGAAGGACGGGGATGTCCATAAACCTAACGGAGTGTATGGGTCTCGGGGCCTTCACCTTCCACCAACGCCCATGGACAGCGGAGAACGGAGGGCCGAGGTCACAAGAGTGCCTACGCTCCGCGCCATGGAGGTGAGGCAGCTCGGGGGTTGTTGTGTTTAGGAATGTTTCGTATGTTTTGTATTGTTTAGACTTGTGTAGTTTAAATGTATTTGTACTTGGATTGTTGTAGGAGGTTGTTTGTGTTGTGTTGCTATTTTGTTTCATTTTTTAATCTATTTTGTTGTATATTTAATTTATTTTGTTTGTTTTTGTTTATTTTATTTACCTGTTCGGTGTTTATGATGGTTTATTTATTTGTGTTTTGTTTACTTATGTTGTTTTTTTATATTTATTTATCTGAGTATGATTTATATTATTTATTTAATCACGGTTATAGTTTATAAATATAATATTTATTTAATCACTAGTTTATTTATTTATTTAATCATTTATTTATTTGATATGGTATCGATAAATTATAATTATTATTTTAATATGTTGATATTTGGTAAAATAGAGTACATGTATATTTGGTTTTTTCATGTATTTGTTCAATAGGTATACATATTGTTTTTTCACAAGAAAAGAGACAGAGAGAGAGGAAAGGAGAGAAGGAGAGGAGGGAGTGAGAGAGAGACGAGCAGGAGAGAGAGAAGAGGAGGAGTAGTGGGAGAGAGATTGAGAAGAGTTGAGCGAGAAAAAAAAAAAAGAGAGAGAGAGAGGAGAGTGCAGAGATTGAGAGAGAGAGACGATGAGGAGCAAGTAAGATCGATAAAATTGAAGTAACATTATAGACGGACAGAAATCAACATTAATCAGACATAGTTAAAATTTCATTTTCATATTTCATTATGAGATTGACGGTTGAGTTCTGCTGGAGTGAATGCGGTAGTTCAAAAGTGCTAGGGGGAGGGTGGAAAAAGAAGTGTGCGGAGAAATTATTGCTAAAGAGAGACCGGAGGAAAAATTGACGTGACTGAAAGAGATAATTGGGCATAATCTTTGAGAAAGACGATACTAGAGACTTTTGAATGCCAGACCGAGATCCGACGATATGTTTTTTGATATATTAATAAAAAAACGAAAACCTTGTGAAATAAGATTATTTGGGCATAAATATGTTACTATATTCTCTTTTTTAATACTCTCTTTAGTTCTAATTCATCACACGCCGTCATATTTTAGTTAGAATAATGCCAAGGGTAAAACATTGTCTTTAGGAATGATATGAAAAAGGTATCTGGAATATTGCTTAAAATAGTGATATTGAAGTTTAATAATATAGTAATTAAAGGCAGGGCATTTGTGAATATTCAAAGAGCATTAAACTCCGAAAACAGTAGTGGTAAAAATTATAAATGAAAAAATAAAAGTGAATTTATTAGAGTAAGAGTGACCGTTGACTGCCAGGAATGGATAAGGTAGGATTAAGAATTTCAATACATTAGTTTCATAAATGCATTTTGGGTGGAATATACTTACATCTACACTGAGATAAAAAAAAGTTAAGACCAACAGATTTTATCACTATATGTGCAGGAAGTTAATTATGTATATGAAGACTTCCTGCTCAGTAAGATGTATTTTTCATATCGTCAGTGCGAGGGAACTTATAGTAGGCGGTGGTAAGGCGATGATTAGAGCAAATATAACAGTCTGTATTGACTTAAGGCGTTTTAACTTAGCTAGCGCGAAAAGACATTTCCATGGGAGACAGCTGCTTTCGTTTTTTCAGACACTTTTACGGCGATTTAATGTGGTAAGTGCATTGAAAACGGTGTAGCGTTGGTTTTTTTTAAGGGCTTTCTTAAAGCGATGGCACCGCCAGATTGGGAACCGAAAATAATCTTTAAAGTTGTAAATAGAATGTCTGTAAAGAATTTTTTTTTGGTTTTTTTTGTTAAGTGAGAAATTGTCCACGACAAACTTATGATTTGAATGAATAAATGGATTCGATAAGCAACAAATCTTCTTTAACTATTTTTTCACCCTAGCATAATATCACAATCAAACTTCTGGGAACTTAATTCGAAGGGGGATATCGACGAGACCGGTGGAATAGGTAGTGTGAAACTCGAAGACTTTTATCAGTACTGGAAAAAGCGGGATATAATAGTTTGCCTTAATAGCTTTTTTAATTTCATTGTGTAGGTCGAATAGGGTCGTAAAGGGTATCCAGTCTTGGTAGATTTTGGTCTGTCGTTTGATTTAGAGAGAGGCTTGCGAGTGCATTCAAGTGGAGGAGGAGGATCGAGGGAATGGGGCACACCTTCACCGCAAACAGAGAACGCTATGAGATTGCAGGAGTAGTCTAGACGAGGATTTCTGTCTTACTTCGTGGTGTCTTTTTTCCAGCACCGAAGAGGAGGACCGCAGTCATTTTTGACTTGCCTAAATTCTTATATTCGGGTGATTCTTCTTTTTCGATGCACGCCATTTTCGTGTCAGTAGGAGTATTGGTGTAATACTATCTTTCATATCCTTGGGCTTTTTTACTTTTTCGTTCCTATACTCATTCCTTCTCACTTCGTCGTTAATGCTGTTTGTTTACGGTTTCATGTCTTATATTTTCCCAGCGTGATATATGTGTACGCTTATATGTTTCTTTTCAGTTTAGAGATGTAGCGACGCGATTCTTCTTCTTTTTTCGTTTTCATTCTTCTTAGTTAATTATTAGACCGCTTATACTCGAGAAGAGCACTGATTCTACTTCTTCTTTTCTTTTCGCTTTAATTTGTTTCATATTTAATTGGAGTAAAGAGAAAAAGTCTTAATGGAGAGATGAGTTTATTATAGGACGGTATAGACAATGGTAGGAAATTGAGATGAAGTATGAAGTTCAAATGGAGGAACGAAATGCCCAGAGACACAGGAGCAGATCACTGGGATTGTGCGCAGGTGCTCTAATGTAATGGGACAGAGGCGAGCGATGTGAGAGTTCCCGGTGGCAGTCAATGGGTGGTAATAGTAGAAAATGGTAGACATGTAGGCCGTAGGCCCGAGGTGACTGTATCCCCTGGCCAGAAGGTGACTGTAGCGCTGTCTAAGAAGGTGACTGTAGCCTGCGCAGAGGTTGAACTGTAGGTCAGGAGACCGCATGCGCAGAGGTGTACAGAGTGCTAGCACATGCCTGAAGGTGAGCGGTAAAGCAGGAACAGATAGGGAAGATGAGGCATCTAAGAGAGCGGCCTGAAGAGTAGGCGCACGAGGTTTGACTGATGGAGGCGAAGTGCAGGGGCCGTCCAGAAGAAGAAACATTGTGACTGGGAGGGATGTATAATGCCGAGTTAGGGAGGTCATTGGGGAAGGAGAGAGGGGGGGCGGGAGGGTAGAGGGGGTTAAAGTTGGAGGGGGAGGACGTTTGGGGGTAGGGGAGGGAAAAGAGGATTTAGGAAGGGGGGAGGAAGAGGAAGGAGAATGGGAGATCACCACCGATGGAGGGCAGGGCTCAAGTCTCCCATGCACCCTCACGGAGGCCCACGGAGGTAGCCAAGGCAGAGAAAAGGAAAGTTGCGGCCGGGGCCACGAACAATAGAGGCACTGCTAGAGAGGAGAAACATAGAGGCCGGAACAGGAAAAGAATTAGAGATAGAGAGAATGCAGTCTGTACCCGTGCACACACGCAGCGCACAGCGACTAGCTCAAAGAGAGGGCCCACCGAATTGGTAGCTTCCGAGAATACTTGACTTTTAATTACTTGCTTTTTGGTTGCCTGACGGTGCACGCAAACTTAGTTGGTACAAGTATTAATTTGATTGGTAGTTTTTGTTTAATATAGTAATACAAGTAATGCTTTAGTCATGTTAGTGTTATCCTTTAAATATTCTTTCTTGGTAATATATTCAAGTTAGTAGAGTTTAATTTAGAATAAGCTGTAAACATATGATCGCATAAGTTTTGCTACATGACCGGACAAGACGGAACAAACTAACAAGTATAGAAACATTTAACATAGGAAAGAGAAGGTTCAAACAGCGATTAATACGAGGAAAGATTGCATTATGATGAAGATGATAGGCTGATCTGTTAAAAGTTTGACCTTAATCACATAAATTACACATAGTAGAATAATTTTTAAGATATTGTAGGAGAGTTATTATATTAGTGATAAATCTCTATATGGGAAATTATGATTTATCTTTAACATGGGTTTGTAATTAATTAATTAGACTCAGGGATTAGTGCAATGGTCGGATAATTGGAACAGCATTTAGTAAAATAGACGGACGAATTTTGACTTACCGTATTTCAAAAATATACTATTCCTACACGCGGTAGGGATCGAGGGCGGACGAGTCATGAGGTTGAAGGTTATTTCGAACTAGAAGATTAAAAGATGTGAGAGATTGTTGTGAATGATGACGCGATCTCGGAGAGAGTGAAACTACATAATATAAACCAATGAGAAAAAACAAAACAAACATTGAGGGATTGGTTAATCCATTATTATATGTTAATTGCTATCAAATAGAATAAAAAATGTAAGATTTAAAATAA